TGCTTGGCGTCGGTTTTCATTGCTGGGATTTATGTGGTATGTGTCCATACATTGAACATAAGATTGTCACTAACAATAACAACAATCTATTGTGTGCCAATGGTGGCAGTAAAGCATTAGTGAGGCAAATTTGGATAGGCTGAAAGTGAAGGAGAAGGAGGAAGAATCAAAGGGTGTGTAGGGCTACAAATGATGGAGTAGCCAATGCTTAACTAATGATTGAACTAATGACAACCAATCAACTAATAATTGATCATTATTGCAACCAATGGTTGATTCTAGAATGATCATTAATTTTTTAACATTTTCATTACCAATGACCGGTTTAAAGGGACAACTGAGAATGACAATTCTTTCTAGGAATTTTCCTTGAAGACATTAATTTCTAGTGGCGGAGTTCTAAAACTGTTCATTTTTTTTCTACAGCACCACAAGCAAGTGAGATTGTTATTCTAGCTGAAATGAATCTCATTTGGCCATCTAATCATCTAGCTTACTCGTTCTAGTCAAGTTGACGAGCCAACAAGAGAAGATACTGTCTTACTCATTGGCCCCAAAAGACATGTCAAACTTCCTATGTTGTGTTCTGGCCTTTGAAGAACAAATAATTTACAGGTGCAATTTCTCGTCCCAGAAATGCTCACCCACCTCCATGGATACGAGGTGAAGAAAATAACAGTTTTTTGATTTCTAGAAGTAGTAGATTATTGATCCCATCCATTAGACACACTAACTTCCCTAATTTGTGGGGAAGGAAATTACACCAACTTCAAAATTTGTTAGGAAGGAATTAAAGCCTGGCTTCTTGTTGATAAATAATTCACGCATTTTTAGTTTCTATATAAGGCGGTGCCATTTGAGTATGTAAGGCATCATCAATCCCTTATCAGTTTTCTCATTGTCATTTCATGTAATCATTTTCAATATTTAATAAAAAGAAGCTTTTAAGCATCAATTTAAAGAAACTACAAGCTTTATATCACAGAAGCATTAAACGTCAAACACCTAGAAGCTATTAAGCTTCAACGAAGGATCAAACAAAAAGCTTAGGCTAAAATCCTCTGGAGGTTCTTGGAGACACAATCGCTAGTCGAAATAAGACTTACGGAGAAGGGCTGTAAGGCAACTTGGAGCACAATTTTGGAATTTGAGAATAAAAGGAGGAAGCTATGGTGGACCAATCATCTCAAGCACACAAAAATAGAGAAAGAATTTTAAATCCAGAAAAAGCTATGAACTCAGAACTTTTGTTAAAGTTTTTAATAACCTTGAAAATTGCATGCAATTACCCATAAGGTTAGATAAATATGTAAAATTAAAAAGATTAGAAAATAATCTTCTAACATCTATTAATCTAGAAATTCTAGAAAATGGTATTCAAGACTGATTGTTAGAAATAAAGGAAAAAAAACAAAGGATAACTATTACTATGATATTCATTCATGAATTGTAATTAGAGAAAAAAGGGTTTGCTAAAATTATATCAAACTTAGCAAAACTATGTATATAAAGAAAAGTAATACTTTGAAACTAGCTTTAGACGAGTTTCAAAGAAAAATTCTGTAAGAAAAGATGAATATAGAAAAGAATCAAGAAAACTAGAATCAAGAAAAATCAAGAAAACCAGAATCAAGAAAATGGTTTTAGAGCCTATTAACAGGTGAAAATACTAAACTAAAAATGCTACAAATATATTGGTTATATGCATTTTTAGCAAGGCGTAAAACTCTTGAAAAGAAAATTGCAAATACATCACTACATTATGAAATAAATGAAAAACACATAGAATATTGGAAAGATAAACTTGAATGTATAAATTTAGCTATCCAAATCTTAGAAACAAACAATAGAACTTGTTCAATATTAGAAAAAAACAATTCTTTGTAAAATGTTTTGATACTTGGAGATACAAAGAATAAAATGAATAAGTTAATCTAATAGAATACTTTTCTAAAAATAATAACAAAAGGTGTTATGGACAAAGAAAATAATCTTTTAGATTGTTTCTCAAAACATGAAAAATCAGGTTACTTAATTAAAGTCTTGATAGATGCAAATAAATTAGGAATAGCAGATCACGATTTAAAGAAGAATCATAACTTCAAAAATGAAGGTTTAATAAAGAATTTATATAACTTAATTTCTAGAAAAAATGAAATATTCTTTTGCATTATTTCGGGAGAAGAAGCAATAGATACAGATCAAACATAAGAAAATGTAGTTATGCCTGTTATTTGTAAAGAGCAAATACTTTCTAAGTTGAAAGATATAAAAGCAGAAACTATGAATAAAATTTCTTACTTACATGTTTCTACTACACAAATGATTCTGAAATCAACTTATAGTGTATGAATAGATTCACCTATCACAATAAGACTAATTGATAATAGAATGATTAATTATTCTGATGCACTAATAGCTGAAGGGAGTGAAAATCTAAAATTTGGTAAAAGTAAGATTAATTTAAACTATCAAGTTGGAATATCATTATTAGACAATAATTTAGATGACTCAATCACTTTGTGTTGGAACATGAAAAGAAAAATAATGAAAACTAGAAACCATCCATTTTCACTAACGTGGAGAATAAAATGCACTGACTAACAACCATCATAGTTTGTCATTCAAACCTCATGATAAAATTAAATTTGATGAATTGTTTTCACCTATATTACAACTAGAAGCACCTAAAAGGTTAGAACATCATCTTTTGTTAAACCGAAAATAGACTACATTATTCCTAAGCAGAATAATGAAGAAGATTAAATTGTTCTTAAAAAATAGATACTTGTACTGAAGTAATCATAAAACCTAACAAAAGATTCCAGAGATAAGTAAAGAATTAGGACTTAAAATACAATAAGTTCTAACAAAAAATATAAAACGAAACTACTTTCGTTATATCACAAGGAAAAACGAAAGAACATTCGTTATATATAGCATATATGTATTTTTGACATTTTATTTATCACATTTTATAATAAAGTATTGGGGGTTATCCCCTTATATATAATTTCTGAATATGCTGAGCCTAAGTGACAGACTTGCATGCTTCAGGATCTTAGGTGTCAAAATTTCATGTTTTTTTTTTCCAGAATGATAGAGGTAATATAGAAGAGCACAAAAGTGCAAAATGAACAAATTACAAGACCCCAACGGGGTAATCTAAGGCCCCAACAGGGTAATGAGACAGGGGCCAACGGCCCAAACCAAAAAACACGCCTAAAAACAAACAGGAATAAAAAACTGAGAGGACTCGCACATGGCGGCCTAGAGAACTCCACAAACGAAAAATAAAGAAAAATGAAAAACAGAACCACTGTACAATACCTAGCCTTCATCTCCGAAAAAAGACGACCAAACACACTAACAGACACAGAAAAAACAAATAAAACACACAAGCCCTCCCTCTACAACAAATCCTAACCAGACTAGCAATCGCCAAATCAACCCAGGGAGATTCATGAGCATGAGAAGAGCGACCCCTCCACTGCCAAACTGCCTAGCTGAATTGAAACTTACACTACGAACCACCCAAAGCCGATTCTCCCAACACCAGAAAAACACAGAGAAAGCTCCCAACACCGCCAGACCGAGCCCCCTAACGCCACTAGCGGACTCCGAAAGAACAGTGAGCCCCCGGAACCGGGAAAAGGGAGACAGTCTCAATGCCTCAGACCTAGCCCACCATCGCGAAGACACAAAGCCACCTCAGCAACAAAGGACCCAACCCCCGACCGCTCGAACCAAGCCCTGTCTCCCAACAATATGCCACAACCCCACGGTTCCACCCAATATCGGAGAGAACAGAGAAGCACAGAGCTCTGCCAGTGCCAACAAAACAGAACCGAGACAAGAACGACAAAGAGAGAAAACTCACCCTCAACCGAGTCCGGGAAATCCGACCATGCTTCAATCGAAGGCTCGCAGCCTACAATCACCCTTCCGCCGGCGAAAAAGAACAAAGCAAACCGACAGAACCCTGGCATACCTCGGCGACCAAAAAGAACAAGCCCGAAAGTCCATCCATTCCGACAAAAACGATCTCAGAGAGAGGGCAACTGAGTAGACAAAGGCACTTCGTCCCTAGGAGGTGACCAGCCAGGGCCGAAACCGACCCAAACCCAACCCACCGCGACCCTTGGACCCACCACCGCGCCGAAAAGGCTTGCAATCACAAACCCTAGCCCGTCTGACAGAGAAGGTTCCCGTCTGACAGAGAAGGTGAGTAAGATTTGGCAACCACAAGTGCCATCACCACCGATGACGAGTAGCGTTGCAGCGAGTGGGTTGGGCCGACGGCGAGGGAACGATTACCATCCAAGCGGAGGTTGAAAGGAGGGCAACGAGGACGAATTGAAGTCGGCGCGAGAGTTGGGAATTTTGGAATCGCAATGGGTTTAGGATGGAGGAAAATTTAATGCTTCATTATTTGACTTGGATAGATTTCAATTTAATTCCAATAAAATAATTAGGTTCGGATTACCATACATATATTGACTTATTTATGATCATTTCAGATGTATAAATCATATATTAATATCATTTCCTATTATAACCATTGAATTGTAAATGTATTTTAAAAGTTAATAACTTTTGTATTTCTTATTGGTTTTACATGTATAATATATCAAATTAATCATCTTTTGGTGAACTTCGATTTGACATCCATATAGTATATATAAAATAAATAAATTATAATTATCTTTATAATAATAATAATAAAAAATTTATTTATTAAAACAAATTAGAAAAATAAAATTATTTACGTTTAATGTAGTTATGTGTTGTAAGTTAAAAAAATATTATAATACAACACAGCTAAGTCGCACAAGTAACAAGTGTCATATTAAAATATATAAGAATATGTTTTTTTATAAAAAATATTTAAATTTTCAACCACCTTTTTTTATTAATTTTAAATTTTATAAAAAAAAATTAGCAAGTAACACCCGTATAATACACGGATAAAAATCCCCATCACACTGTAATATGCAAAAATGTTTTCGGCCCCTTCTAAGAAATCCTCCTTCAGTGCCCGCAATAATGTCGCTAACCGGAGAGATGACGATTCCACTCCGGTGGCCGGCAACTGGAGACCACTGCTCGACAGCCCAGCCGTCCCGAACCGGTCCGCCAGTGGGACCCCAGCCCCTTGGGCCTCTCGCCTTTCCGTCCTCGCTAGGTCGTACCTCTATTACTACGTGCATATGCTCTGTCATTCTCTGTCATTTTTCCTCGATATATATTTTTTTGGAGTAGAACAAAAGGAAATGAGAAGAGATTTTGAAGGGGGTATGGATACTAATTGAACTGTAGCGTTGTAGGTGACTGAGCCGAGTCGAGTAGTTTATTTATATGTCTTGTTTTTTTTTTTTTTTTTTTTTTTTTTTTTTTTTTTGGTTGTGGTGATGGTGGGGTTTGGGTTTGATTTAAGTGCTAATCTCTTTATGTGCAATGGTAAACTACCCTAGGACATAGAATTTAGCTGTTGGTCTTTCAATCACATCTTGCAAACTTTTGTAATTTTGTTCCAGTAGATAACTTTGAACCCAAGAATATCTACATTAGCTTCTATTTGTTTGTTCGTAGGCTAATGTTTACAGTTGAGGGACACTACAAAATCTTAAGCACCAGTTCTATAAAGATGATCATGGAAAATCCATATCCTATCCAAGTTTTCTTGTAGGCAGAGTCACCTTTCATACTTCAGAGCCACTTTCCTAAAGTTATTCTACTTTATTCTTCTGCAATTTTTGGTTCAGTAGTAACCTTACAAACCCTTGCTAGTTAGTTTTGTTGTATTTAGCTCCAGAATTCCTAATTTGAACCTTTCCCGGTTTTAAACTTTAATATAGATAATAAAGAGGACATTTGTGATCCTTTCATGATGAATATTAGTATAAAAGATTGATATTGAAACAAGGACCTTGATGTTCAGTAATTAACCTTTGGACCCTGTTTTTTAACGTACCCAGAATCCCTCCGACCAAGAGAAGTTTCAGAGGATATGGCGTAGATGCTGTTGAACCTGTCTATGTTGGGGAGTTCCCTCAAGTTTTACGTATTGCACAATTGACAGTTCAGAATTATGGTCTTGGTTTGTCCAGTAAAGTTTTAATCTGGAAACATATATTGATAGATTAATTTTCAACTATTGTTTTGTATAAACATTTCTAATACTAGTTCGTGTGGCAGCTGATGCATCTGTCTCTGGTGGAATGGACAAGGAGACATCCCTAGCATGGATCATATGTGGTAACGGTCTCTTATCATCTGCTGCTTCAAGAAAATGTATCAACATTGACCTAACGTCTGTTAAAGAAGAGACTGGAGACGTGAGCAGCAGCTCATTTCAACCTAACAATTGGTTAGTCCGTTTTGTCAACTGGGATAGCTTGAAGAAAGCTGGTAGCATCACTGTCCAACAGCTCAATTCAGCTGGGATTATATTGTGTAACAAAAAAACTGGTGCTCTACTTTTCTGGCCAGATATCTCAAATGCTGATAGGATGCTTTCATTCACGTCTCGTGCCTTTTCCAACAAGCTTGGCAATAATGCTGCAAAATCATTTTGTATTAACTCTTTGATAACTTCACCTGTCTCGTCTACCAACAAAAGTTGTATTGCACTTGCTTGTAGTTCTAATGGTGAACTTTGGAGATCTTCTGTAGCCCTTCTGGTATTCAGCTTGAACAGATTGAGCTTGGCATGTCAAATAAATTATCTGAAGGAAATAGTAACGGTTCATCTGTGGCAAGTAAAGGCTATCCTAGGTCACTGATTTGGCAGTTTTCTAGTCATTCATCGTATGACACTACAAAACAGTTCCTTCTGCTAACTAATCACGAGATACAGTGCTATGCAGTAAAGCTTTCCTCTGATATAGATGTGGTAAAGCTTTGGACTCATGAAATCATCGGCGTTGATGGTGATTTGGATATACAGAAAAACCTTGCTAGCCAAAAGAGGATTTGGCCCCTTGATTTGGCTGTTGATAGTGATGGCAATGTAATAACTGTTCTAATTGCCATCTTTTGCACGGATTGGGTGACCAGTTCAAGTTACTTTGATTATTCCCTTCTAACCATGCAATACAAATCTGGAGTAGATATAACAAAGCCAATAGGCAAACAGATACTGGAGAAAAAGGCCCCTGACCAATTTCTTATACCTAAAGCTAGAGTAGAGGATGAGGAATTTTTGTTCTCAATGAGATTAAAGGTAGGTGGAAAGCCGGCTGGTTCTGCTATTATACTCACAGGTGATGGTACTGCAACAGTTTCTAACTATTTTAGAAATTCCACCAGGCTTGTCCATTTTGATTTGCCCAATGATGCTGGAAAAGTTCTTGATGCTTCAGTATTCCCTTCCCTTGAGGAAAGTGAAGATGGAACTTGGGTTGTGCTCACTGAGAAAGCTGGAGTTTGGGTTGAACCACCCGAACGAAGCTTGTCACGAAAGTGGAGTTCTAATTATGGATCTCTACAGGAGGAAATGACCATTTCTGTTGCTGGAAACATTGCCGCAAAAAGAGCCACTCCAGAAGCAGGTGATAGGCAACGAGCGGGTTTAACCGAAGGTGCACGTCGTAGCCCTCAAGACAAGGAATCGGAATATTTACTAAGCCAGTTTTTCCATGAATTTCTCTTGTCTGGACAGGTTGATGGTGTCCTTGATAAATTGAAAAATTCGAAGGCTTTTGAAAGAGAGGGAGAGATAAATGTATTTGCCAGGATGAGCAAATCAATTGTTGACACCTTAGCTAAAAACTGGACGACAAACCAGGGGATCTGAGATTCCTCTATCTGTTGTGTCCACTCAACTAGTTGATAAGCAACAAAAGCATCAGAGGTTTCTTAAGTTCCTTGCTTTGTCCAAATGCCATGAGGAATTGTGTCACCGACAGAGTATGATCATTTTAATTATTTAGATTATGTTATGCCCCAAATTTCCGTCTGATAATTTCACTTTCCTTTATCGAATACACCTTTAAAGTCTGCTTTAGCTCCGATTTTTCCAAATTTAATGGTATCTCCATGCTCTCCATTTTTCACCTGAGAAAACAACAGAAAAATGTGTACCCCTGCTCCGTTACTCTGTCGTCTCTCCTCCTGCTGCTACTACACCTCACGGCGTCGCATTCCGGCGCCGGGCCCCTCATCGCCGATGTCAACATACTATTGCCTCCCAAAGTGACTCGCCGGTGGAGTACAGACTTCAGGGCAGCGACGGTTGCTTCAAATGTTAGTTACACTGCACAGTCTGCACTAGATTTGATTGAAGCATTTTCTACGTTTATTTTTACTTGTTTATTATTTATTTTACATATATGTTATGAGAAGTAGCTGATTTCAGTTGTTCTTTTGCTTAGGTCGTGTGACCATCATGATATATTATCTGTGATGCAGGAGCTTAATTCAAGTAGCCATTGCTCGACAAGTGCTCGATTAAAGTCCATCGCACCTTATGACGGGCGGCAGGAGACTGCCGTTTATGCAACTGATTTGAATACTGGGACCGTGATTAGGTGCAAGGTTTATATTGATATGATACCGAGGATTCAGATATTTCATAACTCCATCAAGCTGGATCTTGACGGGCTTGCTACTCTGCGTGTGTGTGCCTTTGATGAAGGTACGCCTGTGAAAAACTCTGTTTTGGTAATTGGTTTAGACTGGTTGATTGTTGGTTGATGAATTTATATTGTTTTTATTTTGTAGACACAGTGCATGATTTTGAGTTGTATTCATCTATTTATGTATTAATTAGCTTGTGGGTTAGGTATACGTTTTAGATTTGTAAAATTTGAGGTCGGTTATCTTGAGCTGTCAGTCCGGAAGCAAAAGTTTTCTGGTTGTTGTTTCATGGAGTCTTCTTTAATATATTTTTATGCCCAGTATTTTAACATTTTAAATGTTGTGGACAACAATTTCTTACTGGTTTTAATTTATAGTCCCTGCAAATGAATATTAATGCTCAAACTAGTTATTCTTCTTCTTGAGTAAAGTACTTCATATTTATTTCCCTGTTGTGTTTAATATTCATTTTGATGTGGCTATGGTACAGAAAATGTCTTCTCCTCCTTGGTGGGCCTGCAGTTCATTGGGCAATTGATGCCAGAATCTCATGGAGTTTCTGATAATCTCATGCATCTACCTTTGAAGGATTCTCCACTGAGAGATTGTGGCGGCTTGTGTGGTGACCTTGATATCCAAGTAAAGCTCGAAGAAAGTGGTGTGTATTCGGATTTGTATGTAGTGAAAGGCATTGAGATTGGCCAAGAGATTGTTTCTGTTAATTTGCTAGAAGACTCACTGGAGCACTTAGCTGACAAAATTGTTCTCACAGTTGCCGAAGCAATGTCCCTAGATCCCCCATCACCTGTGTATGTCCTCGTTGGTGCAGTTCTCCATTATACTCATAAAGTCATTCGTAATAATACTCCGCATGTTGTAATATAACATCTCCATTCCATCAATGGTCCATTTTGAACTCATCAGTAGCTCAGATGGAAAGTGCATTGGGTACAGTTCATGCAGTGAACCTTGGGGTAACTGCAGTTGTTGTTGAGGACACCAGGGTTGTTGGACACATGCAAATATCGTCTCTGCATGTGGTCGTACCCAATAATTTGTTGTTATATATGTCTCCTCTCTTTCTTTCTGGAGGTCAAATTGATGTTGTCGAGCCCATTCCATCTGTATCACGTTGGTATGTTGTGTCTGGTCGCCTGTATCTCATTCGTGTTAAGGTTTTCTCGCCAGTTCCTAGGGCGCACGATTTTATTACCGAAAGTGATGTAATAGAGCTTCATGATAACGGTGATGAATTCTGGAACATAGTCCCACTTTCAGAACATGAGGATGTTATTGCCGAGAAGAATTGTAGAGTTCTAAACGCAAATTCATATGGACTGGGGAAACTTATTGCAACTTTGTCTTACAGCTCTGGGCATGATACGTGGAAAGAAGTTGTCAAAGTAGTTCAAGATGTCATGGTTTGTGATCCGGTTCAATTCAATATGTTGGGAAACAGAAATGTTTCTGACAGAATTTTCCTCCCATGGGTTCCTGGTGTCCATCAGGAGCTGGAGCTTAAAGTTAGTGGAGGTTGTGCATCGTCCTTGAGCGACTATAAATTGTTTTCTTCAGATATGGCCGTTTTGTCTGTATCTGTTTGTTTCTGGTATTGTTCAGGCTAAAAAGCCTGGAAAAGCAATTGTTAGAGCCGTGACCATATTTGATTCATTGAATTATGACGAGCTGGTTATTGAAGTTTCCATTCCTCGTTCGATGGTTATGCTGCCTAACTTATCTGTAGCGATGCCCTTCGGGTCCCATCTTCAAGTGTTTTTGACATTGAAAGCATCACATGGTGCTTATTACTATGCTTGTGATGCATTCAGGTCATCTGTAAGATGGAGTACCAAGAGTGATTCTTTTGTAGTTGTCAATGCGACTGAGGAATTTTTTGTTATAGACCAAAAAGAAGCCACTGAACTTCGTTCCTTGTCGTTTGGTCCTCCATGTGCATGGACCCGCATATATGCTACGAATCCCGGCCGCTCTTTAGTATACGCAACATTAATCAGAGATAATCTACAATCTGACCAAGTTGGTTGGGAATCAATTGCCTTGAAAGCATCCTTGAATATTGCTGCATTTTCACCACTCGTTGTGCATCGGGCAAGTGACGGGAACCAGTTTGGTGGCTACTGGTTTAATTTGGCTCATGCTGAATCTCATAATCAGCTGCATAATTTGGATCACTTGTATATTGTGCCCGACACTCAAGTAGATGTTATGCTTCTTGGGGGGCCAGAAAGATGGGGTAAGGATGTTGAATTCATTGAAAATGTACAAGTTCTGAACGAACAGACTTCTTCTTTGAAAAATGCTATTTCCATTGACCAATCAACCAGCTTTGGTAATCCATACAAAATAGGATGTGGTAGTTTGGGAACCTTCAGGCTTGTTTTCAGCCGTGGCAACTTAATCGGGGAGGACCATCGTTTGCCTGTTGTATCAGAAGTGAAGTTGTTGCTCGTGTGTAGTTTCCCAGCTTCGATTGTAATATTGGCTGATGAAGCTTTTAATGCTCTTCCAGCTATAAAGTCCGCTGCTCAGGCTGAACATTCGGTTGAAGGAATTCGGGTTCCCCCAATTACAGTAGCCAATGGACGGAAGATAAGAGTGTCAGCTGTTGAGGCCGGCCTCAGTAATTCTAGAAATGCTTTCGCAAATTCATCTTCACTCAGGTTAAGTTGGCAATTAACAGATGTGAAAGGCTAGCACTTTTCGAAGAGCAGTATGGTCCAACTACATATTCCAGTTGGGAAAGGTTCTTGATTTTACACAATGAATCTGGAACTTGTGTGGTACGTACGATTGTTGTTGGCGTCATTGATTCTCTTAGGCATCTTGATTTTGCTAAGACGTTTCGAGGCTGCAATCATTCTCTCACTATCTTCACCCCCAAACCCAAACCCTTGGTCAAATCACCGTCTCTCTCTATACCTCATTATCTCATTATCTCACTGTCTTCACCCCCAAACCCTTGGTCAAATCCCCGTCTCTCTCTATACCTCTCTTCTTGTGAACTGGCTAACGCTACAAATTTGTATAGTCCTTCGATTGATTTGCTGTCACCACTGAACCCTGGGCTGCCCTCACCTAAGCCTCGGCCTTCGTCACTGCATCCCTAGTGGCATCTGCCGCCTGCCCCACTGCCGCCACCACATCTCTGCGCTGCCGCCGGCCACCGCGGCCTCCGCCCTCTCCATTGCAGCCCGCACCAGTTTTGAAGATGCAGAGTGTTGTCGACAACTCCCTTTGCAACAACCGTTGCCGACCGTGTGTCTGCTGCTGCATTCATTGCACGTGAAAAAGGGTTACTCACCGCTCGTGAAAGTGTACGAATCACCGCTTGAACCGCGTCATTGACAGCCCTCCTCTGTGCTTCAACCGCCTCTGCCGGATTGGACGCCACAGATAGGTGTCGCTTGCGTGCTTAATCGACACCATTGTCAAACAACAGAGAATAATGATATGACTGCGACAATGAGTTCTTTCAAATCCTTGTCAAACCAACACACAAATGCCTGAACTAAAGGCCGAAGCTAGGCAATCGAAAACTCCTAAGTTCTCGAAGACAACAAACAAATGAAAGACGCATATCAAATGCAGCATGGCGCCGAACACGATAATGAGAGACCATATGCCGGTCAAGGCGGAACCGAGCCACACGTACGCAATTATTAAGAACGTGTTGATAATCCGCCCATAGGGCGGTATTTCCACTCTCATGATATGGACTCCGCCGGTATTTAATCTGTAAGCGAGGTAAGGCATGAATCCCGCCCAGACGAGTATAACCACCTAGAATACTGGATATGCGATCACTTCACGAATTGATGGGCCACCTTTTTTCAACTTTTCATCTGCAAAAGCGTTAGATGTGAACAAAACACCCTCTCTGACAGCCAGCGTAAGAGAGGCTGAAAAGGTCAAATGGAGAGGGTATTTTGTTCACATCTAATGCTTTTGCATATGAAAGTTGAAAAAAGGTGGCCCATCAATTCGTAAAGTGATCGCATATCCGGTATTCCAGGCGGTCATACTACTCTGGGCGGGATTCATGCCTTATCTCGCTTATAGATTCAATACTGGCGGAATCCATATTATGAGAGTGGAAATACCGCGCATAGGGCATATATTTATCGACACGTTCTTAATAATTGCGTGCGTGTGGCTCGGTTCTGACCGACATATGGTCCCTCATTATCGTGTTCGTCGCCATGCTGCATTTGATATGCGTCTCTCATCTGTTTGTTGTCTTCGAGAACTTAGGAGTTTTCGATTGTCTGGCTTCGGCCTTTAGTTCAGGCATTTATGTGCTGGTTGGCAAAGATTTGAAAGATCCCATTGCCGCAGTCATATCGTTATTCTGTTGTTTGTCAATGGTGTCGATTAAGCTTGCGCCTATATGTGGCGTTCCAATTCGCAGAGGTGGTTGAAGCACAGAGGAGGGCTGTCAATGACGCGGTCGAAGCGGTGTACCGTAAACTTTCACGGATGGTGAGTAACCTTTTTTCACGTGCAATGAATACAACAGCAGACACACGGCCGGCAACGGTTATTGCAAAGGGAGGTGCCGACAACACTCTGGCATCCGCAAAATTGGTACGGGATGCAATGGAGAGGGCAGAGGCCGCGGTGGCCGGCGGTAGCACAGATGTGGTGGCGGCAGTGGGGCAGGCGGTAGATGACGCTAGGGATGCAGTGGCGAAGGCCAGGCTTGGGTGAGGGCAGCCCAAGGTGCCTATTCAAATTTGGCGGGTGCGAGGAGCGCGATATTGGAGCAGGGTTCAGATGTCCCTACGTTGCTGGGTGCTCAAGGGCCGTGAGTAAGTTCTGTTTAGATTTAAATTTCGAGTTCAATTTCTTGATGTTTAGTTCATAATTAGGGTTATAACTGTGCCATATAATGCCCATTTGATAACTTTTTTAAAGGAATTTAATTACTTAACTTGTTGGGCTTTAGATTAGTAAACGTTTTTTAACACAATAGGTAATAGTTTTAGAGGCCCATTCAGTTGATTGACTTAAAGTAAATCATAGTTTATTTTTTGACTTATTTAACTGATTGCGGAAAGAATTATGCCTACTTGTTTGTGATATTTACACAGTTAATTTTTGAAAGAAATTATTGTTTATAGATTGAAGAGGTGCGGTATTCTTTTGGTGTTTGGCGATATATTCGAAAAAAATTATTAAGTCATTGATTTAGAAGTATTTTCGATTTCTTTTTTTCGTTGTTTAGTTGGTTTATAATTGTTTTAGGGTTTAGTTTAAAACATAATTATTTACTTGGTATATGTATCTTGGCATATTTGTTTGATGTAAATTAGGTTTATATTCTAATAATTTAGTGACGTAATAAATAATAACCGGATAATAACTTAATAGGGTGTTTGTGTGTTTGAATTTTGTTGTGTTGATATGTGGGATGACAATGATGCTATTTTTTCTTTTGAATTTGGTTAATTATTATTTGAAGTGATTTTGTTGCCTATATTTGGCTATGGAAGTTAGTTTTTTTTTTTTTTTTTTT